GTCAAACCTCTTTATAAGTTAACTGAGAAAAACATTCCATTTGTTTGGACTTCAGAATGTTAGAAAGCTTTTGATAAGTTAAAGCAGGCTTTGACATCCCCTCCTATTTTAGCATATCCAGATAAAGATGGCGAATTTATCTTAGATACTGATGCATCAGGACATGGGATTAGTGCTGTTCTTTTACATATTCAGAATGGTGTAGAACGAACAATTGCATATTATAGTAGGGTTTTATCCAAGGCTGAGAGAAATTACTGCGGCACTAGAAGAGAACTTTTAACGGTTATAGATTCTTCTGAATATTTCTCCCATTATCTCATTGGTAAGAAATTTTCAATTCGCACAGATCATTCAGCTTTTAAATGGCTAATCTTTTTTCGGAACTTAGATGGTCAGTTAGCTAAGTGGTTAAGAAAATTAAGTAAATTTAATTTTGAGGTTATTCATAGGAAAGGATCTTCTCATAGTAATGCAGATGGACTTTCACGTCGTCCCTGCGATGAATCTTTTTGTAGATATTGCTCAAAAATTGAAAACAACTAGTAGTCGGTCGAATCTATCTTCTTGAAAATAATCCTATTGATTGGAAAATAGAACAAGAAAAAGATGAGGACATTAGTGTCCTACTTAAATTTAAAAAGGAGGATAAACGCCCTGATAGACGTATTGTTTCTTCAAAAAGTCCTTCGTTTAAATTTTATACTCTTCAATGGTATTCTTTTTTTATTCGTAATGATCTTCTTTTTAGACGTTGGGAATCACATGATTTGAAAATATGTGTGTGGCAATTAATTGTTCCAAATAGTAGGATCAATGAAGTGCTCAAAGAAGTTCACAATTCTTTTACTGGTGGCCATTTTGGTATAAACAAAACTCTGGACAACGTTCGACGTCGTTTTTAATGGGATTCCTATAAAAGAGATGTTGAAAATTGGTGTAAGAGTTGTATTCTTTGTATTGCTGAAAAGGGACCTTAGGAAGAGGTAAAAGTACTTTACAGATTTATAATGTTGGAGCTCCATTTGAAAGACTTCAAATTAACATTTTAGGCAAATTACCTCCTTCTTCATCAGGTAATAATTATTTAATGGTTATAATTGATTGTTTTACGAGATGGCTTGAAGTAATTCCTCTAAAAAATATTCGAGCCAAAACAATTGCTCGGGCATTAGTCTCCCAAGTCATTTCCCGTCATGGAGTTCCCTTAGAAATCCATATAGATCAGGGTAGGAATTTTGAGTCAAATTTGTTCAAAGAATTAACAGTTTTATTGGGTATCCATAAAGCTAGAACTACACTTTTACACCCACAATCTAATGGTCAAGTCGTGCGTCTTAATAGGACAATTCTGCAGTATTTGTTGTTGTTCGTTTCAGAAAATCAACGGAATTGAGATGAACTTATTCCGCTCTTTCTTCTAACGTTTCGTTCTTCACCAAGTGAGATAACAGGGATGACTCCTGCGGAGATGTTCCTTGGACAAGATCTTCGATTGCCCATTGACTTACTTCAAGGATGTCCACCCAACGTTATTCCCGAAACTCCCTCCAATTATGTCACAAGAATTCGTCATCAATTACACCAAATTCATGATGTTGCTCGAAGAAAAATGAATTTACAATCCAACCGTACCAAGATGACCTATGATAAGTCTTCTATTTTCAAGTCATTTGAGGTAAAAGAAAAATTTTGGTTCTTCAATCCGAAGAGAATAATTGGAAGGACCCCGAAGTTACAATTCGATTAGGAAGGTCCATATGAAGTTGTTAGAAAAATTAACGACGTTGTTTATTGTATAAGACAATCCTCTAGACATAAGAATAAAATTATACATAGTGATAGACTTGCGAAATACGTTGACCGTTGTTAATTGGAGAACTGTTCTGCTTGAGTTTTTGGTGTGGTTTTCCTCAAGCTGTGGGCAAATGCTAGAACAGGAACTTGGGTTGGACCACAGAGCGTCAACTTCTAACCAAGTTCAATCTCCTATATGTCCCCGATAATACTCCTTTCGAAATTTCCTGACGTTCAAGAAACGGGTCCTTTATTTTCTGGAATGATGATTGGCTTGGGACCTAAAGTCGTCATTGAAAGACTGCAGATCAACCTGCTTGAAGTCAAGAGAGAAGATACAAGAATCAAGAGACGGGCCCCAGTTTTCTTCTGGAATGTTGGTTAGGCTGTGCTCGAAGATTTGAGATCTTGGGCAACCTTGGATCTTTCATTGGTTGAAGACGGATTAACCCGCTTGGTTCAAAATTTTCTTATTGTCGAGGACGATAATTTTTCAAAGGAGTGGGTAGTGTTACGAATGCAATTTATAATATCTAATTGGTACATTTGTATTCACGGCAAGGTCAGAATAAATATTTTTGTTGTAGTTTAGTTAGTTGACGCCTGAGCATCAAATTGAAAGCATCACGTTTGCGTTTCAATAAAGTTCTAGTTTGTGTTATTTGCGTATTTTTATTGATTATACGTAAACGTAACAATATTTAACTAGTGGAATATTCGTAGTCAAATAATATTCGTGAAATTACTGAAAATATGCAAAATAAATAGAATCATCGGATGATTTTTCGATATTTTTGAAAGTTTATAAAGTTGATGGTGATAAATTTGGTAATCGTTTTGTTCCATCAGATGAGTTTTAGACGTAATATTCACCCCATATAAAATTTTTTTGAAAATTTTGAGTTAAATATTCATCAATGTCAATTAAAATTGATAATAAAAAATAAGCTTTTAAATGAAATATCAAAAAATCATCCAGATTTTGTAAAAAAATTCAAAACAATGTGTAATTTATACTAGGAATATTGGTTGGTTTTTTTGTGAAAGTTCACAGTTACTATGATTTAAATTGGCTCAATAAAGGTTTTAAGTCAGTCAAGAAAGAAAAGCAGAAAATAATGCTATTAATAAACCAAATAAAATAATAAATAAATAATTCTGTATGAATTAAATTGCGTAAATAAGAAAAAAAACCAAGTAAAACAATGCAAAAAGTTCAGCACAAATAAAAACTTTAATATTAAAAATCAACAATTATTTCTAAATTAATCCTTTCCCTTTTTAAAAATACATAATTTCTATCATAAAAAAAATATTCACTGTCATTTAATGTTGTGAAGGTTGATGCATAAAAAGAAACCGAAATTTTTAATTATATTATACATTGAAACAATTTTATTATAGATCTAAATATAGAAAATTTATATTTCAGTAAGACATTCAAATTATAAATAATTAACATGGATAATATCTACAAAAATAAAATAGACTAAAATGGTCGAAAATATATTTTTAGTTTCTGTAGTACTTTTTATTTTGAGAGGTATACAGCCATACAAAATTAATCATCAGAATATTGACTCATTAAATTTAAAGCATGTTTATAGGCATTTTCCTTAAGATAAAAAATAATGATATTAGATATACTATTAACACAAACATAATACTAAGGTCATTACAAACCATTAATATTGAGTATGGTTTATTAATGGTAAACCATTAATATCGAATATGATTTAGCAATGTGTAATAACATATTAGTTAAATACATTTTATCAATAGAAAAATGAATCACTAAGATAAAGTTCTAGTAAAAGATCATTGGTTATTGTAAAATGATAAGTGCAAATTCTATTTTTATTCATGAATCAATATCGATGATTGGGGTATATTTCAAACTATATAATTTATTCAAACATATAAATTACTTAGAATTTGAGAATCAGTATGTCAAAGATTCAAGTGATTTAATAAATAATATAAAAACAACAAGCAAAGTTGAATAGAAGTATGCTAAACAATGCTAGTAATTATAAAAATTAAATTATAATTACCGATATAGTTAACATAGCTGGAATATATTTAAATATACCAAGTTTATTTTAGGATTATATAGTTTCATGAATGTAATTTTTTAAAAACCTTTCAATCCTATTAACAGAAGTTTTAGTATTTTATTGCTGGACTATAGATATAAAACTAATATTAAATAAATAAAATAAGATAAATTATTCTATTATTAAGCAGTATTATTCTTTTCTGATACTTTTTCTTTTTTTTTTACTACATATCATTCTTTTTATTCGGATAAAGATGAATGCCAAAAAGTATTCAGAAGCATCTCCTCCTGGAGGTAAATATAATTAATGTATATACTATTTATATTTGAATCTGTATATCCATGAAAAATAATTACATGTTATAATACAGACAAGTATCTACATTCAAATAATTTGAATTATCAAAATATATGAATTGAATACTAATAAATTTTTAATATATAATTATTATAAAAAGACCTAAAGCAATTGTTACTTTTCAGAAAAATTGAGAGATTAGATTCTTATTTCAACTAACATTTTACTCCTCACTAACCATTACAAAGCTAACAGCAACAAACCAAAAATAATAGTTACAATTTAACTCTTTTTTTATATATGTTTTTGAATTTGAATCAAGATAGTGAAAAGATAATCAATATATACTTCAATATAAGTGGTTGAATTTGAAAATTTGACATTAAATATTTTCAATTATCTAAATATTATTATTGTACAATAAAGACTGTTCGACAAATATATCGTACTTTTCAGACTTTTTAGTTGTATACTTTAAAAATTATGAAAATAATTTATGGTAATATTGCAAAACTGCTTGGATAGTATTCACGAAAAATATGTCAGAAAATTCAGTGATTATAATACATCTTTAATTTGAACAATTTAATTTTATATATTTATATGACGGCTTTTTGATTTATTCCCACAAAAATTACTCTTTTCCATTTCTTAATATTAATCTATTAATTGTAAATTATGAAAGCTGATAAAAAACAGCTTTTGCAAGAGCATTATTTTACAATTTCCATTAGCTAGATTTACTGCCTGAATTCAAATTATCTGAAAGCTTGAAAAAACAAATGGGAGACTTTAAATTAGAATCTCTAAAAATTAGCATCCATTCTAATACAAAAACCAACTTACTAAGCTTCATTACTAAAATCTGGAGATTTTGGTGGTTCTAATTGATGCAATTGACAATATAAGACATCAAAACAATAAAAGCCCATTTCAGGTGATACAATTGAATTATTTAATTTTTGTTTTTTCGTACCACAACAAGTAGTAGCCATTTGTAATTTATATTGTTACTGAAATAAAATTACAAAATATTTTACCACTTACTACTTGCTTTGAATGATCAATCTTTTTATTGTTAATCACTATAGTCACTAATTTAACTAACTTGAACCCCCTTTACCCTAGTCGATAAAGTGTAATGGAGAGTGAAAAAAAAAATACCGTTCGAAATATTTCTAATTGATCCTTCCAAAAATGCTCATTATTTTAATTGAACCCCTTAAGTTGTCCCAAAAAAAATTAAAAACTATGATAATTTTATGCTTTTTGCAACTGCGATATCTTTAGTAATATTTTATATTTTTGCAAATAAATAAGGCGAAAAAATTGAACCCTTTCTCGTTTTAATTGCACCCCTCTTACTTTTTCAATATTATTAATATATATGTCAAAAACAACAATCTAATTTTATTGTATGTTCTTTCCAAATTGATCGGTTAACACGCGAGCGTAAATAAAATTAGATTGTTGTTTTTGACATATATATTAATAATTTTGAAAAAGTAAGAGGGGTGCAATTAAAATGAGCAAGGGATCAATTTATTTGCCTTATTTCTTTCAAAAAGTATTCAGTATTACTAAAGATATCGTAGTTACAAGAAACGATAAAATTATCATAGTTTTAAAATTTTTTTGGGATAACTGAAGGAGTACAATTAAAATAATGCGCCCCTTTAAAGGGCTCATTTAGAGATATTTCGCATGGTATTTTTTTTACTGTGTATTACACTTTGCAGGCTGAGGTAAGTGGAGTTCAGCTCCCTTACCCTAGCCCATAAAGCGTTGTGGACAGTGAAAAAAAAATACCATTCGAAATATCTCCAAAAATGAAGGTCTGTGAAGTGGACACCCGAGTATGGATGAAAATTTTTAGAAAATATTCATCAATTTGTGCAGAAGCTGCGCGTTCAGAACCCGCGATCAAATAATTTGTGCAACTTTTAATTACGCCAGTATTAATTAATTAAAGTCGGGTGCTGGCTAAACTTCGATTGCGATTTACTCGTGGAAATACTGAAAATTTCCGAATTCTGACGACTCCATTGAGTTGCGCGTAATTTGTGCATCAAGAATATGTGGTCCTAATTGAAATATAATCAAAGAGTGCGGGAAGAACGATAAAAAATATAATTGGCATTTGATCAATAATCATTGCGCGCGGCACATGCGCACAACGTCGTTCTAACTACCAGCGAGCGGCGCTGACTGTCAGTACAGCTGTTATTGCAACTGTAACTGCTCTAATTTAATGTGCTAGGAGTGTCAGGGAGACAATACGCTGATGGCTGTTGTAAATTTGCCAGAAGAATCTTTCAGAGTATGTATTCTTTTTTAATAACTTATCAATCAATTTATCATTAACTGTACACTGAAAAAAGTACATTGAAATTGCGCCAGCAAGCTATTTTGAAACTACTTCATGTACTCAGAGCATGCCTGTAATGACTTTACTTGCGTATAAATGTAATTTTTACACAACATTAGTATTGTATTAATGCTTAGTATCCAGATAAACATTATATTCACATGAGAGTGTTTGATATTTTTAGAAATGAAAAAAAAAAAAAGAAATGATACGTGTGATTTATAACCAAGAATATTAATATTTTCACTACCAACTCAAGGTTTCTGATAACTATAGTTGCAACTCATACCTAGGAATGAATACTGAATTTTTTACATCATGTTTTTAATCAACAGTTCAAGAAGATTCCACTAGGCCCGGACATCCAGCCTCAGTCAATCAGTGTACCCAACAATGAAGCAATGATTCCAGGACAATCACATTTGCTGCACTAAATCCAAGAAAAAACAGAATTTCCATAGAGCCGCTCGAGTATTGATAGATTTTTATTTAATTTACTTAGCGTACATGTAGCTACATTAACAAGATAATTAATAATAATGAAGTTGCTTATAACTATTTTCGAAATTTGCATTTGGATAAGGATACTGATTTATTTATACCAATATATGTGTCTCAATTTTCAGAATCTAAGAGTTTCTGCATCCAGAAGAACCAATCTTAATCAATCAGCGTGTACATCAAGGATCAAAGGATTCCAAGGAAATCACATCTGTTACTACGAAGCCAAAAGAAAACACGATTTCCATGGGGCTGCTCGAGTATTGATTGATATTTATTTAATTTACTTAGTGTACATGTAGGTATTAACAAGATAATTAATAGCAACCCATTGAAAATACAAACTTGAAAATTAATTTTTTATTTAGTTGATTTACTGAAATTATTTTTTCATCGACCAATATGAATTTTTTTGCGTTAGGAGAGTTTACAAACTATTGCCCGAAATATCATCTGAATAAAACATATCAATATTCATATTTTATGAAAGGATTGACTAGTTAGTTCACAGGACGAAGTTGCTTACTATATAACTATTGTCGAAATTTGCATTTGGATAAGGATACTGATTTATTTATACTGATATATTTATCTCAATTTTCAGGATCTAAGAGTTTCTGCATCCAGAAGAACCGATCTTAGTCAATCACTGCTACTAAATGCAAGCCTAATCGTAGTTATTCTCCCCAGTTGCTGCAAATGGAAATTGAATGGATCAACTCATCAGCCACTACTTGATACCTGAAAAAAGAAACCAGTATGAAATGAATTATGTAAGACAAATTTCATTCAAGAATCGCTACTCATATACTTTTTCAATTGATTTTTCGTACACCTACGCGTTCACCTTTGCGTACATAACCATTGATAGTTTGATGTTGTCAGGTAGATGAACAATGTATTTCGCTGATGTAGATAAATCATCTTTTCTGATCCATCTATTGTTTACCAGGCAGTAGGCCCTATAATGGTTCAAATCTTTGTTGATTTCTTCGATTTCTACGACACCTATTAATTTATATCTACTACGACGTATCAAAATGGTTTCAGGGCATGAACTGTTGATAGTGTGGTGTAATTCTGAGCTAGTGAAAATAAATTCGGTTTCGAGAAACAGAATGTCTCCAATATCGTAGATTAATTTTTTTGTAATTTTCTGACATTTTGGACAGGCATCTAACTCTGGTTCATCAAAAATATCGTTCAAACATTCTTGCAGATTTTGCATTCCGTCTTTCCTATTTATAATTTTTGCAGCCTCTCTAAAAGGGAACACTAATGTATTAAAGTTTTTCGGTGTATTTCGATATCCACATTCGTCACATTGTTTCGTAGATGTTATTAAAGAAGTTTCACTGTTTTTAAGTGGAATCTGAACCAAATCTATGACATTAATCTGACAGTCAATTATACTTCCATCAAAATTATGTAAATTAGGTTTGTTTCGATTATAGATTGAATTGATCACGATTGGATACAATATATTTGCTCTATTTTCATAAAAATCATTCAGCAGAGAAACATCTTTATTAAAACTTGTAAGAGCTTCTAAATATTCACATGATTCCCCTTCAGATAAGATCTTATATACACTATCGATACTTGCAGAACAAATCAAAACTTCTGAAACACTGTCGAAGGCACATGTATTTATGAATTTCCTTGTTTTGTTATCATATAAAACCGTATCATTAATTATTCCATTTAAAATAAGAAAAGAGAGTTCTTTCAATTGCCTTACATTATTTACCGAATTTTTATCCGTTTCAATTGTTTCCATTTTTATTGGCATTTGTATTTGTGCTACAATCTTGTCAGATTCAGTCGACAATTTAGTCCATTGTTAAACGACATGGTTTTAGTTTCAAGCTTTCGCCCATTAAAACTTTGTGGCTAGTATCTAAATAATTTTTGTACGGGTAATCGTTGAACGCCATGCTTGTACCATTCAACATAGCCAGAGAACCATCTGTTGAAGCTTCATCTGGCAAAGGAGCACCAAGAGAGATAGGTAGACTCAGAGCATATTGGATCGTATTGGTGTCATGTGCATCGCTCAACATCTGCCACAGTGGTGCAACTTTGGATTCGTGATCTGTAACCATCCTGTAGAGAAATATGTAACCAGATGTTTCATCTGATGCTACAATTACTTTTTTAGCATATCCACCAGATGCATCGATTGACACCCTAAGCTTCTTAACTTTTGTTAGATCTTTCCATAATTGTATTTGATCATCAGTAACAAAATTCACGACAAATGGTTTCTTACTAACTTATCTGATTTTGGAAAACCCATTTTCACTCAAATACAAGAGAGAATCAAAGACTGCACTAGGACCAGTTAGTTTTAAAGCTTCATCAATTGCTTCCTGTCTCAATTTTCTGATCGTAACTGAATTATTCAAGTAAGCTGGTTCTAAATCAGAATATTCCAATAAATCATTCGCAGCCTCAAGACGAAAAACACCAGCTGTTACATATCGTGCTTTTAGTTTAGCTTTTTTCCTTCGCGTGTTCTTGAGTTGGCGTTTCCTTTTGTGAGCAATTGTTGTACTGTCAAAGGTATGAATATCGATAGAAATACTTTCACTGTCAAGAGAAAAAGTACGAGCACATTCTCCTTCAATGTCGTTGAAACATTCCGTACACTTGCCATAAAATTTGAAAAAAGGAAAATCATTTCCAACATAAAATTGATGTTTTGTAAAAGCATAATTACAATTAATTTTTGTATCATTGCACACTTTTTCAACTACCATATCCGTCCAATCTTTCTTCAAGACTAGATATTCTCTACCATCTTTGTAAAAAACTCTGTCTGGCTTTATTTGTGCCCACTCTTTTTTATCCAAATGTATTTTCATATTTACTGGTTGGAATTTACCAGAATTGGAAATTTTTCTTGGTATATACTCCTCACCCATCATTAAGTCATCAGTTTCACTTTTTTCGCTTTCAGAAAAATCATCTTTGGGCAGTACATAATTGTAAGATTGATTTACTACTTTAATATTGCCCTGAGCTTTCAAATCATCTTTTAAATTATGCCTATTTTGTTGCACATC